TTTATTTATCGTCATTACACTTCCTGTCGGGACAGGAGGCCAAAAGTAGATGTCTACAACAGTTCAAACCCCCTAATGGCAAGCGGTTTTGAACCGCATGGGCTTAGGGGGCTTGCCATTAGCCATTTAAATGACAAGCAATTCAGAACCGCTTGCCATTACTATAGAAAGGGCAGCGGTTTTGGCGCTAAACCGCTTCCCATTACAGGTATAAAAAATAATTTTTTTTTTCACATAAATTGATACACAAACCAAACATAAGTAAAAACATTAACATTTTTATTAATTATTTGTTGTAATATAACATTTATATCAAAAAAAATTAATACAAGTAATAAAATTAATACATCTAATACAAAAAATAAAATCAACTCTATTAAAAAAAATATATATATCATATTCCACAGTCCACCAGCCACGACCACCAACACCACCGGCCCACCACGACCCCCACGAGCAGCCACCACAACCACACACCACGAGCAACCACCACCACCACCACCACACACCACCACATAATTTATTTTTTAAAAAAATAAAGAAAATTAACCCAACCCGCCACCACCACCACACACCACCACATAAATTATTTTAAAAAATAAAGAAAATTAACCCAACCTGCCACCACCAGCCACCACCACCACACATACCATACACCACCACATAATTTATTTAAAAAAAATAAAGAAAATTAACCCAACCCGCCACCACCAGGCACCACCACCACACACAATGAGCACCCAGCCAACCCACCCTACCCCTCACTTTCCTCTTTACCGATTACTCCACGCCACCCCCTTCCCTAATTTTCCACGCCGGAAATAGCCCCATCCACCAGAACCGTACCCCTACCCACTGTACCCGAACCCACCCACCACCCCACACCTCTAGCCTCCCTAACCTGAACCCACCTTTAAGTAAAAACAGGAAGATACCTTGAAATAATCCACCAAAACCCTAATTTGGCTAGAAATTATGGTTTAAAAGGTCAAAATTGACCATGAAACTCTAAAGGACCTAAAAAACCTGAAAACCCATACACATGCTTGATTTTGCGATTTTTGGTTCGTTTGTCTTGCTCGATTTTGCTCGGTGGTGGTCGATTGTCGCGCAGCCGGTGGTCGGTGAAAAGTGGAGGGAGGGAAAGAAGGGGTGCTTGAGATGAAAGAGAAGAATACGGTGGGTGGGTAGGAAAATTAATGGAGGGGAGAAGGGAGAGAGGACAATGGAGAGATGATAGAGGAGAGAGGCGCGAAAGAGCTAGAGGAGAAAGAGCGTGAAAATGTGAAATAAAAGGATGAAGGGGGGAGGAGTTTTAAGGATTTTAAGTAATGGCTAGCGATTTGGTATTGAACCGCTTGCCAATATAACAAATGGCAAGCGGTTCAACCCCACCGCATGTCATTATATAGATTGGTAAGCGGTTCGCGCTAAAACCACTTGCCAATTAATATTAGAGGTTTTTTTGTATAAATTGGGTATAATGGCAAGCGGATTTTTAAAACCGCTTGCCATTTGGGGCTTCCCTTTACGTTTATTCTACTAGTTTGGGTGACAAGTGTCTGTGAAGAAACATGCAAACTTATTTATTTGAAGCAACATCAATGAAGAAACAAATTGTTATGGCTAACTTATGTATACTTGTATTTATTGTTATGTTTGAAGCCCTTTGGGGCGGCCGAGCCCCTTGGGGGGGGGATATATGTTTGGTGCCCCTTCAGGCTAATGAGCCCCTTGGATGGGCGATAATGTGCCTGACGCCTGACAGGGTAAAGTCGTATCCCCTAACCAAAAGTAAATACCTAAATCCTCTAACTAAAGTAGATAGGGAAGTAGGGTCGATCTCCACAGGGAAACAAGTCTTTTTACTCCTAATTAATTATTATAATCTAAATTATCTAAGTAACCAATATTTATATTTGAGTATGAAACTAAACTACTAAGATTGAGAATAGGGAGAAAACAATATATAAAGGATCTAGGGCATAGGTTCACCAATAAATAATACTCCAGGGTAAAACATAATAATTAATCATTGACATTGCATAAATAACATGATTAACAGGCTCTCGCAATTTATTAATCAACATAGATCTAACAGGCTCTCGCAATTTACTAGATCTAAGTTCTTATTGAAAATAGCCTTTAATATCAAATTAACATCTGCTCGATTCATCAATTCAATATTGCTATACTTTTACAAGCCGCAATTGTAAAACGTTAAAACAATTCAATAAGAAATTATCATGCAATACCAATAATAAATAATAGTCAATCATCAATGCATCAATTAACCAGATTGTAAAGGGCTTTCGCTACGTATTACAATCACATAATTAATTTACCGGTATTAAATCTCATCTCTCGAATCTCGACTTAACCATTTATAAATTAACCTGCCTATTGAAACTAGACCTAAACATCAACTCTCATTTGTCGAATCTCGAATCAATGTTGTCACACTCATGCATAAAAGATCAGGTCTAATCTAGTCACAGAGCATTAAATCAATCAATAGGAAATTAATCTAGCATTGATAATTAACAACAATAAATTACCCCTTCATATTATTTATGGATCCCCACAAACCCTAGAAAGAAAACTACTCACACATAAACAATATAAAGAGAATAATAGTATAAAAGTAATAAGGAAACAAAATAATAAAATCTTAATATGAAAAGAAAACTCAAACTAAACTAAAGAAAAAGAAAACTAAAAAGTAAAAACTACCTGGTTTAACGCTACGTACTCCATCCTTTTATAAGGATTTGAGAATCTTATCTTTATAAGCTTAGGAAAAACTAATCCTAACTAAAAGATAACTAACCAAAAATAAATCCTAGGATTCCTACTAAAAGTCTGACAAGAAAACTAGAATATCTTAGAAATCCTAATCTTACAAATTAATCACCGCCTAACAAACTAAAGCTACTACTCCTCTATTCAGTGAAAACCGAGTAAGCAAGCCCAATAATTTGCAGGCCCACTAAGTGAATAGCTTGATGCTGAAGATGTCCGGCCAACTGGGCTAGCTCGTTTGATCGGTCCCGGTCAACTAGTGCTGTGAGTTGGGCTTTGTGGCTTCTTTTGTTGCCCATTTCTTCTCTTGTTTGGTCCGTAATTTGTGTGGAAAATTTTGGACCTCTTTATATATCGAGCTCTTAATCACCGGATTAAATTAATCTAACTAGGCCTTGGGCTTAAAATATTTGGTCATAAAATACGATCCGACTCCATTGTCTTTGTAGTGGCTCAATAAGCTCAGGAATTGTCATAAATCTGCAAATTCCTACGAAATAATACCAACTCTACAAAAACACTAGAAAACGTATATTAGTAATAAAAATAGCTCCGCATAGCTCAGATAAGCACAAATATGACCGTGGGACGAGGAATAAAAATATATATAAAATAGACTTATCAACGCCCCTTAGGCCTAATGAGCCCCTTTAATGGGTTATGATGTGTCTCACGCCCCTTAGGGCTAATGAGCCCCTTAAATGGGCGATGATGTGTCTAACGCCCCTTAGGGATAATGAGCCCCTTGGATGGGCGTTGATGTATCTCACACCCCTTAGGGCTATTGAGCCCCTTGGATGGGCGATGATGTGTTTGACTTCCCTTAGGGTTAATGAGCCCCTTCTAGATAAGCGATCACGGAAAACTTTGACGCATTTGGCCCACCGAAATTGCGAAAAAAGGCCTCTATCATGGAGAAAATGCCATATTTCTGATTACGGTCTCATTTTTAGGCATGTCTTGGAACGGTACGTGCTCGGATCACCCTATAATGAGCCCCTAGGATGGGCGATGATATAATTGACGCTTTCTAAGAGCCTCCTGGGTGACAAGTGTCTGCGAAGAAACTGTATAAGATAGCTCCCGCTGAAATATCGCCCAGCTCCCCAGGGTGCTCATTCATTGCCGAGAGAACAACTGCAAGGGGCTCACTAGCCCAATGGAGTCAGCCCGCAGAGCTGACTAAGCCGAACTCTCCACAAAGGAGATCGTACACCTATAAATAGAGGACAAAGTACAACGGAAAGTTGGTTAGACACACAAGTCATTTTACTCTATGCATCTCTCTAAGTATACATTCTCTCTCTAAACACTCTCTAACTTAAGCATCGGAGGAGGGTTCCTCGAGCCACCCCCGAGGGTTGTTTACGTGTGTTGCCTTGTGTAGGTTGTCGAAGGGGCCCAGCTCACCCCATAGATCCCTTGGATCCACAATTGGAACAATTGGCACTAGAAGGAGAGGGAGGATCATCTAACCTGAGGTTCACTAACTGAGTTAGGGACCAGTTGACAAACCACCATGACCGGGGAGGAAGCTTTACAAATACCCATACCAAAGTCAATGACGCCAACCAGACACCACCAGCAACTATCAATCCCAAAGGATCCACCGAGAAACCCAAGTCCACCATCTCGCAAAAATTCAACCACATTAGGTCGACATCTATTGCAGCTAAAGCAGTGTCAAAACTAGTCGATCCGATAGGATCTAGTTCTGTCTTCAAATACGATATGCCATTAACAGGCGCGAACAATGAACCCATTATTTCAGCACCCATAACCCAAAAACCGCAGCCCGTAAACATGTCAGCCATCCTACAAAAACTCTCTAATTGTAGTAAGGAGTAGTTAGCAGCGATGACATCAATCCTTGTCAACTTTGGTAAGGGAGCGAGCTCGTCACCAGTAGTAGCAGCTACAAAACCAGTGGTAAAGAAGCCAGCACCAACAACCCTCACCCCGAGCAGAAGGAGCTCGTCCTACTAAGGAAGAATGTGTTGGAGTTGGAAGCTTGTAATCTGAACTGAGAATGGAGCGTGGAGGAAATAGTTTAGACTAAGGGAAGCCCAGAGAGGCGAGTCGCCCACAGCTGGTCACCTGCCGCGGAGCGGGGACCGAGCCTAGATAGCAAGAAACGAGCACAGATCAAAGTTATTTTAGATGATTCCCCATTTTGCCGGGAGATTTAAGAGGAACCGATGGAGAAGATAAAGATGCTAAGCTACAGAAACAATAGAACTACAACACCTAAGATCCATATATCGGCTTTTGAGAATCACATGGTGCTTTATACCATGACGGATTCAGTCTGGTACAAAGCCTTCCCACCGACCCTTGAGGGGCTGGCAACGGAGTGGCATGAGGATATTCGAAAAGGTTCTGTATACTCATATAATCAGCTGAAAAGGATGTTCATGGAGCATTTTATAACCCTGGTAGACCGAACTAAGATGACAAATGAGCTGATGTCACTAGTTCAGGGGAAGGATGAACCCTTGAGGGAGTTTATCACCAGATTCAACAAGGAGGAAACAACCATCCCAAATATGAGACAAGAGGTAGCGTTGTTGGCGATGAAGAGCGGTTTGCTACTAGGATCACCGTTCAGAGCGTACATGGGACGTAAGAGCCTCAAAATGCTAGTTGAAGCGCACGAGTTCATCAAGGCAGACGAGACTGACAGGGCGATGCTGAGCAGGAAGGCACCAAACGACTCAGTGAAGCGGGCAAAAGTCACCCGGGCAGAAAACGCAGCCTGCGCGGATCTGCCCAGTAGAGCTAAAGGTCGTAGAGAGGGCGGATCGAGCTGTCGGGGTGAGAAGGTCAGATCCGAAGAGAGGAGGAAGACCTGGAAGGTTCGACCAGTATACCCCACTCACTCACTCAAGGTCTCCCTTCTTCAGCGTGAACAATGCTGATGATAAGTGGCAGAGACCCTCGAAGATGGTCAATAGGAACCGTGATCCCAACAACTGGTGTGACTTCCGTAGGGATCTTGGCCACACAATTGATGAATGCACGCATCTAAAAGATAACATAAAAGACCTATTTAGGAGGGGGGTACCTGAATTAGTTCAAGCAGCATGCTAATCTCCCCAAAAGAAGGGATGAGGATAGAACAGGCCGTGACCGCATAGGAGGTCACAGGAGTCCCGCTGAGGATAAAGACAAAAATAGCAAGCTAGAGGGAAAGGTGTATGTGATCAGTGGAGGACCAGTACATGGGGGAACGGTGAACAAGGCACGGACGGACCTGCGGGCAATGATACATCAGATAAACTATAATGAGGAGCGCAGGTGGCCACCTCTTCCCCCGCAGCCGCGAGCCACATTTGATGAGTATGATCTAGAGGGCATAATCTATCCTCATGATGATCCTCTGGTGGTGATGATGAGAATAGCAAATTGGGAAGTGGACCGAATACTGATAAACGATGGCAGCTCAGCCAACATCATATACATCAGCGCATTCAAAGAACTGAAGTTAGACAGGAAAGATCCAAAAAGGGTGAGTTATGAAGTCACCGGGTTTAATGGGTCTGAATTGACCCCGGAGGGCATAATCGAGCTCTCAGTCTGAGTATGCGAAAGGTAAAAAAGGAGCAATGTTCGAGCAGACTTCCTGGTGATAGACTCTCCTTCGCCTTACAATGTGATCATGGGAAGGCCGCTCATCCACAAGATCGGCGAAGTAGTTTCCACTTATCATCTTGCATTGGCCTACACAACTAATGAAGGGCGGTCGACAAAGCTCAGCGGAAGCTTAAAGACGGCTCAACAATGTTACATAACTGCTCTAAAGTAGCCCGCTAGGACCAGACAACAGTCAGTCTCAGAGCAAAGGCCCATTGAGTAACCTGAGAAAAAGTACAGAAAGAGGAAGCGCAAAGAATATCACAGGGAGAAGAAGAAACAAAAGCTGGCCATGAAAAATTTAAGCCTCTAAAGGAGGAAATGGCTGGGCCACTTCCCAGCGTGGAGCACGTTACAATCGAGCTCACAGAAGGTGATCCTTCAAGAATAGTGAAAATTTGAAAGGATATTGATCCAGGAGTAGGGGTACACCTCATAGTGCTGCTGAGGAAGAACAAGGACATCTTTGCATTCTCAGCAGATGAGATGCCCGGAATGGACCCTGCAGTCATGGTCCACAGGCTAAATGTGAAAAAAGATATTAAGCTAGTAAGACAGAAAAAACGAAGCTTCTGCACGGAGAAAAATCAGACAATTCAGGAAGAAGTGGAGAAACTCCTAGAAGCTGGATTCATCGAGCCTTGTGATTACCAGGATTGGCTAGCCAACGTGGTCATGGTGAAGAAGGCAAATGGCCAGTGGAGGATGTGTGTTGATTTCACAGATCTCAACAAAGCCTGCCCAAAAGACTGCTACCCACTGCCGCGAATCGATCAGCTAGTAGATTAAACCAGCGGGCATTCCTTGCTAAGCTTCATGGATGCCTTCTCAGGGTACCATCAGATCAGCTTGCACAACCCAGACAAGAAAAAAACCGCATGCATCACCGAGGGGGGGAGTGTACAATTACATAGCTTTGATATTCGGGTTGAAGAATGGTGGAGCAACTTTTCAAAAGACAATGGATAGAGTAATCATGCACCAGAAGGGCATGTTGAGGTATACGTGGATTACTCATTTGTCAAGAGCGTCACACAGGCAGGACATATCATGGATTTGGAGGAAACATTTACCACCCTGAACAAGTATAACATCAAACTCAACCCGAAGAAATGTGTCTTCAAGGTGAGCTCAGGAAAATTCTTAGGCTTCATGATCAGCAAGAGAGGAATAGACGCAAATCCGGAGAAGGTTGAAGCAGTCCTAAGCTTACCTAAGCCTAAGTGCATTAAAGACATCATGCGGCTGGCAGGCAGAATGGCCGCACTAACTAGGTTCATCAGCAAGTCAGCCGACAAAGCCTTACCGTTCTACCAGCTACTGAAAGGGAACAGGGAATTTAAGTGGGGAGCCGCAGAAAAAGAAGCCTTTGGAGACATTAAGGAGCATCTGACTAAGCTCCCCACAACGATCAGCCTAGAGGTGAAGGAAAAACTACAGTTGTATATTTCTGCATCAATTCAGACAATCGCAGACGTTCTCCTGGTAAAAAGATAAAAGCAGAAAGGCCAATATACTTTGTGAGCCATGTGTTGACTGAGGCCAAGAAAAGGTATCCGTTGGTGGAGAAGTTGGCTTTTGCAGTGGTAATAACAGCAAGGAAGTTGAAGCCATATTTTGACGTGCACATAATACAAATCCTCACAAATCACCCACTAGATAAAGCGTTACAAAAAATGGACGCGTCAGGCAGACTCTTGAAGTGGGCCATTAAGCTCTCCGTGTATGAGTTCGAGGTCAAACCTAGGGCAGCTATCAAAGCACAAGCCCTAGCAGACTTCATTGTGGAAGCCTCGTAAGAGGAGAAAGAAGATGATGGATCGTACGAGGAGAAAGAAGAATACACCTTAGATGTAGATGGATCGTCAACCCAAACAGGGAGCGGAGCAGGGTCCATAATGACATCCCTAGGGGGAAATGTATTTGAGTATGCCATAAAGTTCAAATTCAAGGTGTCAAACAATGAGGCAGAGTACGAGGCATCTTTGGCAGGCCTGCGTATGAGTATCGCAGCCGGAGCCAAGAAAGTTCGTCTGCAGACTGACTCTCAGCTTATCACCAGTCAGTTCAAGGGGGAGTATGAGATTAGGGAATCCACAATGTTAAAGTATGTGACCAAAGTGAAGGAGCTAGCCGCTCAGCTAATTCACTTCCAGATAGACTTGGTCCCCAGAGTAGGAAATTCCCAGGCCAACGCATTATCAAAGTTAGCTAGCTCCACCCTGTAGAGCCTAACGAGGACAGTGATGGTGGAAATCCTGGAGGAAAGCATCATCGCTGAAAAAGAGCAGGTGAACTGCATTGGACAACAATGAGCTTGGTTCAGAGACATAGTGGCATACAAAGCTCATGGCTCGCTTCCTGACGATGAAGTACAAGATAAGAAAGTGAAGAAAGATGCTAACTGGTACGTGGTGATGAATGGAGAGCTCAACAAGAAGGGCTTCTCAAAGCCACTGCTAAGGTGTATTCCGGAGTAGGAGCAGGAGGGAGTTTCATGGAAGAAGCACACTCAGGAATACGTGCCAACCACATTGGTGGAAAAGCATTGGGAATATAAATTCTCAGAAGGGGTGCATACTGGCCAACTCTGGCTTAAGACGCACTGGCATATGTGAAAAAGTGCGACAAGTGTCAAAAATACTCCCTGGTCATAAACCAGCCGGCAAATGTTCTTACCCCAATCCTCAGCCCAATCCCGTTTGCTTAGTGGGGAATGGACATATTAGGACTCTTCACCACTGGGTCAGCGGGTAGGAAGTACCTTATAGTGGCAGTGTACTATTTTACCAAGTGGATAGAGGTCAAGCCCACAAAGTATATAAAGGCAACCCAAGTGAAGACGTTCATATGGAAAAACATCATCACAAAGTTCGGGGTGCCACAATGCATTGTCTTTGACCACGGATGCCAATTTGACTGCGACACAATCAAGGATTACCTGGAGGACATGGGCACCAAATATGCAATTGCCTCAGTCTGTCACCCGCTGAGTAACGGCCAAGCTGAAGCAGCAAACAAGCTGATCTTAACAGCCCTACAGAGGAAGCTAGAGGAACACAAAGGCCTATGGGCCGACCTAGTCCCAGAGGTGTTATGGGCAATTAGAACCACTGAAAAAGAATCCACTGGTAAAAACCCTTTCACTCTAGCCTACGGGGCTGATGCAGTTGTCCCAGTGGAAGTACAAATTCCCAGCCTGATAAAACAACAATATGAGCCACAAGCAAATGAAAAGCGCATGCTAAAAGAGCTAGACTTCCTGCCGGAAGTAAGGCTACAAGCAGCCGTCAAGCTTGCAGCCCAGAAGAGCAGGATTTCCAAAGCTTTCAACAAAAGAGTCAAGCACCGGGAGCTCCTACCTAGAGACTTGGTCCTTAGAAGGACAACAGCAGTGGGAAGAGGAAACCAACATGGAAAGTTGTCAGCCAATTGGGAAGGCCCCTTCATCATCCATGAGCAGGTAGGACCTGGTGCATTCCTCCTCGCAGATCAAGAAGGTTATGTCTTAAGGAATAGTTTCAATGCTGATGTGTTAAAGGAATATTTTGTTTGAGAAAGTAAGAAATTAAGTAAAACTGGGGATAATTGTTTCAATTTTGCAAAGAACTCTGTTTAGTTCATGTTATGTTAATTAAGGTATTTAAGCCATTTTAATTCAATGAAATACAAGCCTCTACGTGAGGAGTATATTGCGTAAATTTGTTTAAATATATCATGCTTTAGCATCATATACTAACATGCAAAAAAAAAAGAAATAAAGAAAGCATGCAAGTGATGAAGGCAGAAAGCACCTTAGCAGGAAGCAGCGAGAAGGACGCTAGAGGGGGAGGCCTGGCACGTTCAACTTGAGTAGGAGAGGGCAGTGAAAGCAAAGAAGGATGAGCTGTGCAAGCAACACTATGGTTCTCTTAGTCCTACCCAGCTCACCTCTTTGAGGGGGAGAGGAGGAGGAGATATACATATAATAAACCCTTACGAAGAGAAGTAAGAGGCACAAAACAAAAAGTCACAGAATAAATAAGTTGAATGACACAGAACAACAAGTCACAGCATAAATAAATTGAATGACACAGAACAACCAGTCACAGCATAAATAAGCTGAATGACACAGAATAACAAGTCACAACATAAACAAGCTGAATGACACAAACAAACAGCTGAAAGTTGGTTAACGCAAGTAAATCTCAACAAAGCTAATTGAACAAATGGTGCCAAACAGTTAATAATAGGATAAACCAGCCAATATGCAAGCAAGTCTCTACAAGAATCAAGCAGAATACATTGAGCATAAGCACGCAGTACAAAAAAAGAAGAGAGAACAAAGCTCATCGAAACCCCAGCTAAATATAGAAGAGAGCAAGAAAGTAAGAAAGCCCTCAGCAGCCAAATCAAGAAAACAAGGAGGCGCAACCTACGAGGCTTCACTAAACGCAACGAAAAGGCTGTTGTGCTAAGGTCTAGGAACTACTACACCTTGGCTCAGCAGCAAGTTCAAACGCGCACACAAACCACAAAGCGAATAGTGGACAAAATAGCAGAAAAATCATTAAGCACATATAACACAAAGCTGAACCCCTGCCCACCAGGACATGGTAAACATCCAACAAGTTAGTTACAGTATATGAAAAACTGAGCCCTCATCCACCAAGCCTAGAATGTGTTGAAACGAGCCTGCTGCACCACACCTTCACCATACAAGCTGCTCACACAGCGGGCTGCAGCCTCCCATCCACCATCATGGAGATCATCCAATAACTTAGCTAAAGTAAGGGAGAGCGCGAAGGCCTTAAGTGCCTCCTTCCTAGCAGTTTCCAGCTCGGTTATATGCCTAGCTCGCATATCGGCAATCTCTGCTTCCAATGTCTGAACCCTGGCCTAAAAGGTTTTCAGCTGCTCCTCGCAGCTCGCTAGCTTGGTCTGGGTGAGCTGAAATTCTCCCAATTG